CGCTCCCGCAATGATAGCTGTCGCCTCTGCATCTGCTGCATTGCAACGAACTTTTCCAATGCTCTCATCCACATTGCCTGCTGCAAAACCAACACGGTAAAAAAGAGGACTCTCAAATGTGTGACATTCACATAAGACGACAAATGCCCATGCTGCTTTGTGTCTTTTGCATGATCCATCCGTGAAAACATGAAAAACGTTTTGGCATCTCGACGTGCCCTGAGTCTTCTGACTTGCCAACCTTGCAAAAGGATGTAAATAGGGAATCTGCTCAAAGTCATGATTCAAACCTTTCCAGTCCTCTTGATACAGCAATGACAGGTCATGTTTCAGGCGATCAATTGCCTCACTTGTAGTTTGCACAGATCCATTCCCCTGACATCCCATGAGATCCAAGTTATCCTCATGGCAATGCCGCAAAAGGGGTTCATGTTGAAAATCCCTAACTGTTTCCTTTTCCTGGCTGTGAGAGCTGGGGGGATCCACGTTAGCCCCCCCACACTCCCGTATGCAGCCCTTCCCATCAGCCCGCGAACCAAACGAAGCACAATCTTGTTTTGCCCGTACATGTTCGCAAAACTCTTGGAAACCTTGATCATAAACTTCAACATGCTGAATTGTTGCTCCAATCTGCAAAAAGGACGTCTGTTCTGTGACCAACTCATCGAAATTTGGGTCCGGCATATAGCCCTCTCTGAGCAGTATGGATAAAGCCTGCGCTTTCTGCCCCACATTGACTTTCATAGTGAGAACATCCCCATCCTGCCATTGCCCAACTACATCCTGATATCGATCACCATTGACCTGCAGATGCATTCGCATGTTTTGACTTCTCACATGACGTTGCCAAAAGGGTGGTCTTTCCAAAGCCTCCAATGGATCTTCACTAATCTCCATGTGCGGCATGACCACAGCCCAAAGTTCTTGCACCCCAGGTAAACCCTTCGGTATGTCATCTGCGACTTGAATCACTTGCCTTACCAAAACAGTGACTCCATCACGCGATCCATAGTCCACGGCAAAATGGAAAACCATTTCTTGACATTCATTCATGTCTGGCATAGCAAAGGGGCAAAAAGTGATCGGTGCAAATGGATGATCAAATGGCCAAAGCTGCCACATCCGTTCAATCCACTGATCACCTTCCAATTCCTGCCTTCGCAGCACCAGAATACGATGTCCCATCGGTCTGTTTTCCGGCGACACTCCATGTACATGGCAAACAATACTGTCACTCTCAGGCCGTAACAAGAGAAGCTCCTCAACCTGCAAATAGAATGCTTCAACTCTCTCAACCCTTTGCATGTTGCTAGTGACATAATTGGGACGCCTTCCAAACGATGGGCAACACCAGAGACCATGTCCAAAATTGTATCTCACATCTTCGTGCATGACTTCTGTACCAAGACGCACTTCACATTCCCGCATTGTGAAAGGTCTGCACTTCTTGTGTAGATCTAATTGAACCATGATCTCTTTGGCAGTTGAACCCGTCAAAATTTTGGCTCCATAAGAAACTGGTCGCAATCCCGCTGCTGGGTCCCCTTTTTGAGTGATGAGGACATTTTTCACATCAGGATCCAGATCAGCCGGACTGGCCACACTAACCAAGAGCACAACACTGTTGATGCCGCCCAACTCGCTTGGCTGTGGGTAAACATGAAATATAGTGAGTGCTCCATATTGAGCGTGATCCCACCATGCCTGCTGCACCAATTCCGGCAATTCATTGAGCCTTAGAGGGCTGAAAGGAAAATCCCTTCGACCCAAATCCAAAAGTCCAATTCCGAAGGTCACTGCTTGCCAAACGGTGTCCTCTGCTTCGGTTCCCTCCAAAGCATGCTCCACATATTCCTGCAGCTGTGTTTGATGATCTTCCGCAAAATCGGTGTCCATCATATCTTGCTCAGGCTCCTCCTCAAAATGGATAGGGTCAACTTGCCAAGGATAAGGATCCGGATTGTCATATTGCATCATCACTGGTGCTCCTGACATCAATGTAGCGGCATCCCCTTCACGCAAGGACAAATCACTTTGATTACCTTCCCAACTCCAAGATTTCGGACTCGAAACCTCATCCCACTGTGTCTCTTCCGAGGGCTGGGACAAAGCGTCCAAAGAGTGGTCATTGGAAACATCTGTGGAAGCTGCTGAAGTCTCACCATCATCGCTAGTTACATCTTCATCATCTGACTCTTGCTCTAACACACGTATAGCTCCAGTGACTAACGCTGCATTTGGGACTCTCATCAGTTCCTCCTCATCGAGAAAAACCTGTGCACGCCCATCATCATGCTGTATGAAACATCTTGCATTTCTGATCTGACATGCACTTGGATGCTGAGCCTCAATGAAAAATGCACGAACTGAAATTCCCTCAGGAAACATGACCGCTCTTTGTCTCCTCAGCGCAGGCAATGAGTCTCCGTGGTAAAGCACAAAATTGTGGTTGTTATGACTTCCCTGGACAATAATCACATGAGCCAAAGTGCTCGGCATACCCGGTGGCTTCGGGTGCACAAAGTGAAAAGCCAGTTCCTGGTCATTTTCATACATGAGGTCTTGCCACACTTGTTGGCAATCTTGACGGAACTCTGCAGGTGTCATGCCTTCACGTATGCTCACCGCCCTATGTTGCACACACACATGAAAGCGATCTTTGGCCAAAAACCAAGTGACCACCTTTCGTCCCGTGACCACTCTTTCTTGCTGAATCCATTTTTGCATCATTTCAAACCAACAATCATGCCATGTTCCAGTGTCATCAAACGAACCCATTTTCACATCATCATACTGTCTCGCATGGAAAAAAGGGACATCTGACCTGAAACCTTCATTGACAGATTTTTCAAGGTGGAGTGGCGACTGACGTGGAAGGAGAGCATGTTGTGAAATAAAGGCAGAATAGCGTGCTAACATAGGCCAAGCCATGATTTGTCCATGCAAATGCCAAATGTTGCGCAACCAACATTCACGATCGTCCTCCCAAACTTCAAAATCGCAAACTTCTCCATCATAAATGCAAACTACCTGAACCTTCTCATGAAAACCAACCGTCTTCCGTGGCTTGTTCCGAAACCAACTTCGTGGTTTCTCCCAATGCTTACACAAATCATCAGCAAGCCCTGCCGATTCATACGCATGTTCAAGAAAACTTTCATTGGGTCCATTCTTACACTCTTCAACCAGACATGGAAAGGCTCCATCATACAACGCATGAGGCTCAAACTTTCTCTGCCACTGGTTCACCCAATGTGCCGCTGGAAGAACTTCCTTTGTTCTTGATTCAAGATCAACATCGTAATCATTCTCCTGTGTCGGTTGGCTGGTACCGTTGTACTCCAGCCAAAACCATTTTCTGGACTGCTCATTCGACTGAAGACAATGGTCTGGTAACCAACCTCTGTCGGCATTCCACCACTCACTCATGGTCTCTCTCCAAGTTTGAGCAAAACTCCCAATGCCCAAATTCAGATGAGACAATTCCTGACAAGCTGCAACTGCCCTCCTGTCCACATAAGGGCTGTTTCCACAAAGCTCATCATCATCTTGAAAAAGAGAGATAGACCCGGTGTTCGAAAATACCCCTCCATGGCTCATTTCTCTGCTTTCTCCTTCTTTTGCTTCAAATGCAGATTGGCCACCTTCTGCGGTGAGGTTGCAGCTTTGAAATTGGCTTTCGCTGCTCTGCTCCCTTTGATGATCTCCACATCTTGTTCCTCTCCGAGCACCATCTCGTCGTCCTCGTCCGAGAGCTCGTGGACCTGTGTGACAGACCCTGCTGTGGCCATCGCCGACCTCATTGAATCCAGTTGTGTCTCCACTGAATCTAGAGGTGCTTCTGGCGGCTCCTCCAACTGCTGATCTATGAGACTTCTGGATGCCATTGTCAGCTCGTGTTTGAGCTTCCTGAGCTCGTCGAGCTTCTGATTGTAAACCTCCATCATCTCTCCACGACATTGTTGGTAAAGATCTGCATGTTGGGAGACTTTCTGCATCGTATTTTTCACAAAGGCAGACCATTCCAAATCCAGAGCCTCGATCTTTTTGGATTGCGCTCCAATTTGGGTCTTGATCTTTGTCATGCGATTGAGGTGTCCATGAGACAAGGCTTTGGAATTGTTCACCTCTTTCTCCTTCATTTCCAGAATGACCAACTGTTCCTCCAGCTCTGCTGGAAGTTGTACATCCATGGTTTTCAAGCCACGCAAATGAGTCAGCTTTTTCTTCTCTTCGTCTGTCAGAGGTTCCTCCTTTGATGAGATAGCTGGAAGAGGAAGTGGCGGCTGAGCTACAATGCCCGCCTCCATCATCTGTGTTCCCATAGGAGTCTCTGTTTGCTTTGTCACATGTCTGGTTGCTGGCGTACTTGGTATCCATGGGACTTTCGTTGGAAATACCTGCCACGCTTCCGCGACACTGTCTTTTTGATTTTGCTGCTCTTGTTGCTTGGCTCCCTTGCTTTTGCTGCGTGAACGCCTTTTCACCGGCTCCTTCCACACACGGCTCCAGTGCTCTTGACATCCACGACATGTGTCGTGCTTTTGGCTGTTCTGAATTTTGCACGATTGGCAATACCAGGTCATAGCTATCTTTTCTCGTATGCGCAGTGCTATTTCTTGGAAATTCCACGAATGGTGCCCTTGAAGCACTCCAAGTGCCAAACGCAGTTTTTTCCGTTTCCGCCTGCCCAGGGCTGAGGTAGAACTTTTCCTGACCAAATCCCACGCCTTGCGCCTCTTCCTGCGCAGTAGGCGATGCCAAGAATGCTCTTTCCCCTGCCTTCGAGAAATCGCTAATGGATCCAATGCCACAAAGTGTCAGTGCGAGGCAGCGCGCGATCATGCGCACCCCCCTAAGGAAAGACTGAGAGATGCGAGGGGGGACACTCCTCCACACCTCCAGAGCCGATACCTTATATTACATATATTCATATATACCAGAAACGTCCATAGTTGCCATAGTTACTCCCCAAGTTTCCCCATGGATTTGCCCCGAGCTTCAGCAACTCTTCAGCGCCCAAGAAGGGCCGGCGCTCCACCAGCGCACCTGAGGCCTGGCCAAATCGGAGATTTCCTGGCAATTCATGTGAGAAAATCCATCAAAATGGAGAAATTTTGTCAAAGAGAATGGAACATGGAGAAAATCTAAGATCTATGAAAATCAAGTGTGAACTTGCTGGATTTACCAAGATTGAATGGGGATATAGCCGTGAAAAAGAACAAAGTGAAACACGCAGTGAAGCTAAAGAACATGTTCAAGAAAAACAATGATGTGTGTTTGACGAGATCTAATTAAAACAACAATCAGTTTACAAAGTTGCTCCCAACGGCCGAGTTCGGTGTTTTTTTTGAGTAAATAAGGAGGAAAAATCACGAAATCATTTACCTAGAGTAGGAGGGAAAAAAGGTGTTTTGATCCTGCTCAACCAGTTGATATTCCATACGACAAAACTAGGTGATGGTCATGCTACAAAAGACAGCATTGAATTCCAAAAAGGGTCGTGCTGTCTTTGGCATAGAACCCGACACCAACATGATTTGTTCTCTAATGCACGGACACCTTGCACTCGCCAATGGAACTTCTATTTGATGAATCGCAAAGCTAAATGGCTGGCCACAACGGCTCAGCAACATTCACACCCCAACCATGTTTTTTCCACAGGAAACATCCCCAAGCGCAATACCCATGTAGCCTCGTAGCCACAGGCTTCACGATCTCTCAACTGTCTTTTGCAGAAGTACCTCCAGCTCACCAATTTTGTGGTGCCACGGCTCACTAGCTATATGGCTGTTACCCAAAGGGATGCAAGGGGAATTGCATAGCAACTGTCAAAGCCCTAATTCCATGTGAATTTTCCTGAGAGCCGATTGATCTATTGATCACCAAGCATCCCAGTGCTATCACTTCACAATCGGTTACTGTATCCGATATCGAATTGGACCCACGGGCGCAGGGCGTCCACTTCAGAGTGACAACTGATCCACTCCATATGATTTGGTGATGTCCGCTATGTCTTATTGTTTCAATTCAAAAAACTGGTTCTAGCTATGGGTCAAAATTGGGTACCCCAATAATTACATATGGTTACCATATCCTAAAATTAATAGTTACCATATGGTTTCCATATCCCCAATAATTTTAGCCAGATAATTACTGTATATGGGCCAATAATTAGTAGTTTCAGTAATTATAGACCCATCATAGACTAAAACCTGTGGTTCCCTGGGTCATTTTGACCCATAGCCTCAGATCCCCCATAGCGCGGCACGTGGTGTTGGGCGCCAGCAGGGGCTCTTCAGGGTGTAAGTGGCCACCGCACCTTGGGCCTCGCTATGGCCATTGGAAAGCCCCAAGTTATGGCCATTGGAATCCATTGGAAATTCTATAGGAAATCATGGTTTATCAAGGTATATATATATACATAATTATTTGTATGTATATATATATATATTGTTATATATATATATATATTGATATATATATATATATATATTGTTATATATATATAGTGTTATATATATAGATATAGATATATATTGTTATATATATATATTGTTATATATATACACCAAACCCCATCAAAATGGGACAATGATGAGAAAATCTACAGGAAATGACTCCATCATACTCAATCACGGGACAATCAATGGATTGGTTAATGATGAAAGGAAAATCAATTGACCTTGGGAATAGGACATATCAATGGATTCTTTGGGAAAATCTTCACTGGATTTCCCATGATATAAATTAATGGTTTCTAAAACCGATCTAATGAGACAATGACAATGATGAGGATCCATTGGAATTGGAGTACTCCATATATATGGAACTCACCCATATTTCTGCATATGTACTATATGTACTCATCCTGAAGTAGATAGAATCTGGATTTTCCAAAATCATTCCCATTTTGATGAGGAGCTGTTTGAAAGTTCCTGATGTTGTCTTGAAAACAAAACTGTGTATTGATGTATATATATATATATGTGCCATGGTCAAGTTACGTGGGATTAATGGGTTATGGTAATCGATCCCATTTCATGGAAAATCAAACGTAATTGGTATATAAATCCTATGATTGTTATATGTATTGAGGACCATCCTCCAAAATTGGCAATTTAGATACCCGAGTTTTGACCCTGGCACGTATGATGCAAACCATACAAAGAAAGAGGTGATGACTAGATCACAATTTCGAGCAACCAACCATAAAACCTGGATTCTATCCCCATATTTGTTGTGAAAACAGCCGTGTTGATGGCTAAATTCCCATCCCATGCTGAAATCTCCATCTTTGATGGTTTCAATGGATTGGTTTCCCTTCCAATTCTGCAGCTTAGCTCACTGGGTTGGAGTACGGGGGAGGTCTAAATATGTATCCTGTTGTTTCGATATTAAGAGTTTGTATGCACACAGAGAACTAGCAAAATGTGAGCCTAATCATGATTTTTGGGGGTTAGCTAAAGGGTCCCCGGAGTTATAAATTGCTTTCCAACCCCAACTCGTTCGATATCTCCGCCAGAAATCGAATCCTCAGCAGGTATCCCAACTTAAGCATAAAATCAACTCTCACTCCAGCAATCCTCATTTTTGTCAGGGTGAAATCCTCGTTTTTCCCATGAAATCCATGGGGCCCCCTTTACAGGGCCCATGGCAACGTCACCCCCGCCGTGGCAACGAAGTCGCAGGGCGCCAGCGCGCCGAAGATGGCGTTCTCCGCCAGGCGCTGCGCCAGCTCCGCTTTGGCGCCGCTCAGCAGCTGCTGATTCAGCCTGGAGATCTTTCGAAAAAGAATGATCATTAGCTATAAGATATGTATGATTATATGTGTATGTGATTAAAATATCTATATTATATATATATATACATATATTTATAGTTATATTTATATTTATAGTTATATTTGTATTTATATTTATATTTATATTTATATGTGATGATATATATATGATATATATAATTACGTAATGATCGCAAAAAAATGTAAATCATCGTAATGATTGTAATGATTCGGAAATAGCTATAAGATATCAATATATATATATGTGATATATGATATATATATATATGATATATATATATATGATATATATATATATATGATATATGATACATGATATATGATATATTGATATATGATATATTGATATATGATATATTGATATATGATATATTATATAGTATAAAACACGGTTTTAGATAGAATTTATATAGATCAGTATAATAAATGTTATATTTTTGTATATGCAACATACTGAAGACTGAAATATATATGAATATCTCACTGAAAGATCACGTTTGGGAACTAAAATAGGCATTGTCAAAATCGACTAATCTAGGGACTGTTTGTTAGCAAAAAATAGGGATTTGATTTGAACATGAAACATCTGGGGAGTCTAAGCAACAACGTTGCGATGATTCTTGTGGATGTTGTGGAGACGATGGGATCTGGTGAAAGTGGATGTTGCCTCAAATTTGATGATCATTGACACACTTCAGAGTCATTTCTCAATAACGGAAATTGTGGGACCAGGGGATGTTTGATGTGCGATCCGTGTCGGGGTTGCTGCCGCAGGCCTAAGGTAGTTCTTCAACTCATCGTTCCTTGGAAGTCGTTGCGTCGACTAGCTGCAACTTCCTAACGGTGCTTCTCAAAACTTGACGCGCCATCAATATCCCTCGGACTTGGTTTAGTTGAGTGGGTCTGAAAATTGGGGGATTCGCCCCCAAATGTGCATCATGGGATTCTGGATGTACCCTATTCATGGTCTTGGGTCATTTGGGGTCACTTCGTCCTTGGCTGAGCAGATCGTGACTCAAGGCCCAGGATGGAACAGGCCGATACAAAGTGGGGCCCCCGTCCGATAGCTAAGTTGGTTTATAACTACAATAACTAGGGTTTATGGTAGTTATAACTATAGTTGGATTGGGTTATAAACCAACTTATAACTAGGGGGCCCCACATTGTAATTTTCACAAAATATCGATTTGACTTGGCGTCCACATTGCTCAAAGAAGACCTTGTATCCCAGAATGACCAGTTTCAGCACAGTTTCTGGACCTTGAGTCCATTGCCCACAATGGTTCTGTGTTGTTGCCTTTAAGACAGATTGCTTCCCTGTTTCTGTTGTCAAACATGATGAAACCGCCATTTCCTCCCCATCATTTTTGCTGGGTAAATCCCCATCATTTCCTCATCCTTGTTGCTTAAATTGCCATTAAATCACCATTTTTGTTCGTTAATTGCTGGTTTCCACCCCAGTTCGACCCAGTGGCGTCTTCCTCTCCAGCTGCCGCGCTAACTGCTCCAAACGGAAGCCACAGGCTGCAGGTGCCTGTGGCTCTGGATGGTGGATGGTGGGATAATGGAAAACCACCATTTTATCCATTATCATCCATCATCTATGAATGGTCATCCATTGTCATCCATGGTTATCATCCATTCATGGGCATGTTTGGTCGGTAAATCATCATAGATATTCATAGATCATCTTTTAAAAAAATAACGGGCCATCGCATCATCGCTTCCATAGCCAACTGTCAAATAACCAGAGGGTAACCAGTAACCAACAGGAGTTATGAGGGCAAGTCCTAACCATCCATGGTTAGAGAGGTCACCTGATGTGTTTGGCTGAAACCCTATGCTTCTCTGTCAGATATTCATTAAAATTATTTCGATGGGGTGATAACCAAGAAGGACTTAGCATCCAGAATTGGGGTTCAGAAACAAAGCAAAATGGGTTTTGCCGCTTCATACCATCCACCCAAGATAAAATACATACTAGAAACCGTAGTTCAGAAGAAGAATGATGTGGGGGTCTTCAAAAAAGGGGATGTTTAGTATCAACAGGAAGGGTTCAATGCACTTCCTGCGACTCACACTCTTCTTCAAGGAATCCACCTATATAGGATGATGGGAGCCTCTCCAAAGTGGGGAAGCAATCAGAAACAATCGGAGGTTTCCTGAAATATGGCTACCCCAAACCATTGGTTTTCCCATTAATAACAACAAGTTTTGGATGATTTTGGGGTACCCCCATTTTACAACCCCCAAATGAAAAATCCAGCCATTCTTGGATGATTTTGGTAGACACGCAACTTACTGGATGGGAGAATCTGAAGACCAGCAGGGCAGTGGCAATCCATTCAAATATCAATCAATTCTCGGATCACTTCGACGCTTTTGTCTGGAAACAAGTCGATATCATCCTTAGCACTTCAGAACCGGCCATAATCTGTATGTTATACATCTGTATATGTATGTGTGTATATGTGTATATACATATTGAGATAGAGAGAGAGGGAGAGGGAGACAGGAGACGAGACAGAAGAGAGACAGAGAGAGACAGGGAGAGAGACAAGAGAGACAGAGAGGACAGTAGCGACAAGAGGAGGAGAGAGGGGTGAGAGGAGAAAGGAGAGATACGGGTGAGAGAGAGAGGAGAGCAAGGGGAGAGGAAGATGAGGAGAGATTAGGAAAGGAAAAAGCGAGAGGGAGGAGAGGCAAGAGGAGAGGACGGAGTAGAAGAGAGAAGAGAGCAGAGAGAAGAGAGCAGAGAGCAGAGAGAAGAGAGAAGAGAGAAGAGAGAAGAGAGAAGAGAGAAGAGAGAAGAGAGAAGAGAGGAGAGAGAAGAGAGGAGAGAGGAGAGAGGAGAGAGGAGAGAGAAGAGAGGAGAGAGGAGAGAGGAGAGAGAAGAGAGAAGAGAGAAGAGAGAAGAGAGAAGAGAGAAGAGAGAAGAGAGAAGAGAGGAGAGAGAAGAGAGGAGAGAGGAGAGAGGAGAGAGGAGAGAGGAGAGAGGAGAGAGAAGAGAGAAGAGAGAAGAGAGAAGAGAGAAGAGAGACGAGAGGAGAGAGGGGAGAGGGGAGAGGAGAGAGGAAGAGAGGAAGAGAGAAGAGAGGGGAGAGAAGAGAGGAGAGAGAAGAGAGAGGAGAGAGGAGAGAGGAGAGAGAAGAGAGAAGAGAGAAGAGAGAAGAGAGAAGAGAGAAGAGAGGAGCTTTATATATATATTAAATATTATATATATATTATTATATTATATTATATTATATATTATATATTATATATTACATATTACATATTATATATTATATATTGTATATTATATATTATGTATTATTATATTGTATATTATATTATATAATTACATTTTATAATTATACATTGTTATATTATATAGAATATTATATTATATAATTTTATATTATTACATATTATACAATTATATATTATTACAAGATTTAATGTTCACAAGATCATCTCCAGTTCTTCCCAGTCCAGGAGCCCAGTACCTGCATGGCCACGCCAGAGGATGGTAAGGGTTCTGCAGGAAGCTCCGTCTTCTCTTCCTGTGGCTGATGTGAGGGGCTTGCTTAATTGACATATTGACATATGACAATTGGATCAAAATTGCACTGGGTCAAAAATGTGATGTTGCGCCATTGCGCCAACAAAAACAAAGATCTTGATATTTGTTGGTCACAATAAATAGTGTTGTAGGACTCAGCTCAGATCCCCTCCAACTGTAAAAGATCAAATCCTCCATTGCGACTCTAGACCCAGAAACCCAAGAAGCTCTTCCTGATTTGGAACCAGGCCAAAACACCCCCCAAAGTAGCTCATTAAAAAATCAGCCAAAAATGCGTCCAGTTCGAAGTTCATCCCCATCAGCCAAGGTCACGAACCAGTACTATATGACCATATGACTATATATGGATTGTATTACTATATGCTTACCATATATATAATGCATATATGTAATGCATTGTTGTGCTAAAATCATCTAACATCCTCATTTCTCGAGGGGCCAATTTCCCCATGTCGATGGGTCAAATCCCCTCCTGCTCCAACGCGCAGAGAGCTGCAGCGACATGCTTACCTGAGGGCCCATGATCGGAGAATTGTTCTCACCAAAATATCTGGATTCAAGTGATCCAAGTTCAAATATATCGTAACAAGCCCACATGTAATTGGGTTAACCCCATGTATTGCTGGGTTGTATGTGATCTGGCCATTTCCCTACGATGCTTATGCACATCCAAGTGCTAAACCCCAAAACAAGAAAAACTCTCCTTCATAATCGAAAAGAAATAAGTGAATATAGTGACTGAATGTGTTCACCTTCATCAGTTGATTTGTTTACCCTCTGGTAAACTAACATAACTATAGAAAATCACCATTTTTGATGGGTAAACCCACTATTTCAATGGCCATTTTCAATAGCTATGTTAGTTTACCATCCTCAGCCAGAAATGAATTGTCCAATCGTTCGAAATGATTTGGGAACAGAATCTCTGGTGCCAAGTTGCAATGGGAGCTCAGCCTGCAGCTACAGCTTCCACTCCATGAAGATTCCTCAGATTGGGGAATCGGTTTCGGAATCACAATTGAATATCACTAATGATCACTAATGATGGTTGATTTATAGATATTGTAATGCCATTCTTAGCTCCCATTGAGGCTTCACAGCCACGTCGAGTCCGGGATGGTTTACAAGATCCACCCTGATCATCTCAGTGGCGGCACCACTTTTCGAGTTATTTCCCACCAACAAATCATAGCACAAGATTGTCCCAGTGACCCAGTGACTCAGTGATGGTCATATTCCAGGTTGTAATAGCTTGAAGACGCTTGAAACAATTTTTCCCATGGAAATCGGAGGCTATTCTCCTGAAAAAATTCGCCGAGCAGCAGTGGCGTGCAGCTGTACCACTTCAGTGACGCCTTGCACCGAGACTTCGTAGCGCCTCGTAGCGTCAGTGGTCGGCCCTGGGCCCCCTGGGCCCTGGGTCCCTGCGTTGAAGCCACAAAAAAACTATGGGTGAATCAAAAATATATAGAGATTTCACACATATATTGTGGATTATCCATATAAATCATTATAAATCAATAAAGAATATAGAAAATTCATAAAATTCTGATTTGGAAATCAACAAAAAAAACGGGAATTGATATATCAATCAAACACTGTGGATGAGGAACGCAGCATGGCACAGCCCAAAAAATGTCGGTAACAGATGCAAACCAGGAGTACAAAAGTAAATTTGTGGCAGATGAGCCACTCAATCGGAGCTAAACAGCTAAACCAATCCATACAACTCCCACTCGGCCACAGGTGGATGACTCAAACCAACCTATGGGTTGACTGGGTGATTGCCACATGTTGGGACTTTCCAAAAGGTGAGCCATTGGTTAGTTTCAACCAAGGTTTTCGATTTTCTCACACGTTCAGGTGTGGATGGGAACAGAGTCCTGTAATATCCCATGCTGCGATCTTTGGCTAAGTTCTGGTCCCATTTTTTCAACAAATCCCGCCGAAAGCTTCATGTTGGGGCGGGTTCGGAAACCCCCCAATCTCCCATCATCCATCAACTTCATTGATGTGATTGATGGTCCGGCTGTTGACTGGTCCGATATTATGTGTATATATATACAGTATATGTGTGTGTGTATATATGGAGGTTTCCTAAAATAGAGGTACCCCCTAAATCATCCATTTTAAGAGGATTTTCCATTATAAACCATCCATGTTGGGATATTCCCCATTTATGGAAACCACCATATATATTTACCGAAAAACAACTCAGTGGAGTGGAGTTGCGACTGTGACTATGACAACTCGGGAAAAGTATGGCTAACTATTGTCAACGTCGGATATGTTTGAGCCCCTGGTTGCTTCAATTGACGGAAGGTACAACCCGCCATCCATTAAATTATCATCAATGTCTAAACTTGGTTGAATCACTCCCGGGATTACACCCACCATATCCCCGGTCAACAATGGTTTGTCGGCCATAGAGTACAAGTGTTTCCAAGCGCACTCAGTGTTATCCTCCCCCTAAATCATGTTATAGCAACCCAAAACTAAAAGAAGTAAATTACAACTATCTTCGTAGGATCTCATGATTCTATCTTTGTAAGGTGGTGGCCCCCCCAGTTATTTTTGTTGGTTTATAAACCATATCAACTTATATGAACTGTAGATATATCATATATCTACCATAAACCACACTTACCCTCTGGTAAACTAACATAGCTATGGAAAATCACCATTTTTAATGGGTAAATCCACTATAAATGGCAATTTTCAATAGCAAACTGTTAGTTTACCAGAGGGTACCCTATGTAATATCCCCTGTTTTCCCATCCAATTCCCCCCTTTTTCGGTGGCCTCTCACTGGTTGCCGGCGCTCCACTGGGTCGGCTACTCACTGCACCGTCCCAAAAGAGCCGCCGGCCCGCTGCCACGGCGTCTTCTGGCAAGGCCTGACCGGGTGCTCCATACGAAGATTATGGGCACATTGGAATAGATCACCATGGAATATACCTGGGGTATATTGGTATAATCATGTATAATCCATCATTTTTCAAAATCCTGGGGTATCTTGGGATATACTCCATTTTCAGATCCAAATGATCCATTTTTTCAAGTGCAAGTTGTGCAAGTTCTATACCAATAGGCCTAGACTTGTGGGAATAGAAGTCACTTGGAAATCCTGGTGGAATCTACATGGGGTCCCAAAGGTTTGGGCTAGCGTGACGCAATGATCGCGGGATGGGATGAATAGGGATTCAACATGATTCAACTAGGGAGTTTTGACATTCACCATAGGGTAAGAACATAAATCGATAGACCATGGTGAATCTGTTCAAAAATCCTTTCAGAATTCATTCACCATTTTCAAAAATGGATTCTGAAGCATAGAGACTTCTGATCGTTGACCCACGCATGAATTTGAATTCGTCAGTGATCAGGGATCATCATCCCCAACCTGGAAAGAAGAAATGTTGAAAACCACAAACCGATGATGATCATCAAACTGGAATGTACATGGTCTGATTTCACTCAAAAATTCACACTCCAACTATATATTTGATGGTCAAGTTGCTGTGGTTTCCTGTTCCAAAAACTCTCAGTGCCCACAAGGTGGTGCCCCAGTTTGTTAGCTAAGTTGGTTTATAACTCCCATTTCACTATGGTTTATGGCAGATATAACTATAGTATTCATGGGTTTTTTTAACCAACGTTCACATCACTGGGGGGCAGCACCTTACCACAGCCACATCTATTTTCCCACTGAATTGACCAGCCTGCAAAGCCTTGGAGCCTAACGGTAGCTTTGGGCCCCGCCCCGTCTCTGGAGCCATCTCCACAGCGGCAGTGGAAGGTGCTGGGGCGGGAGAGCGCGAGCGACTCCTGGGAAATCGGGATTGGGTACCCCAAAAGGATGATATGTGAGCTGGACAATGTGGGAAACCCAACAATAAACCCTTCAATAAATTAAAGGGTTTATAAGTTTATACCACCCATAAAAAACATGACATGACTTTTTGGCCATGAATGCCCCTGCAGCACTACAACCGATTTTTCTTTTCTTTTTCTTCTTCTTCTTCTTTTTCTTCTTCTTCTTCTTCTTCATAAACCCAGTTGCAATTGGGGTTGAGGGCCAATTACATTGGTAGATTGGCCTCATTTGTTTATGTAGTCGAATTGTGACCATCAAACACGTCAGCCCTGCATCATGAAGCCCTCCGTTGCTTGATTCGCGAGAAGTTCCCCCTGAAGTCACATGTTTTCAAATGGGTGGCCCTGCCTTTAAACTACCCATGGGGTAAATCCAGAGAGAGGCTGGACGACTGGTCCGTCCTTGATGCGTCTAGCCGTCGCCGCTTTGGGGAGGGAGAGGCCTCATTACTGGTCTGGAATGGAGTACCAGAGGGTTTGAAGCACGTGTGTCTGACATAGAGCAAGTGCACAGGTACGGCCGTGCTGATATCTTGGCAGAGAGGGCGTTCCTTGCTCACCCCTAGATCACCACTATAGTTAAACCATGTTGAACACTGGGTATACAACTGGCACTGCACGCATACATTACATACATTACATACATTACATACATACCATACATTACATACATACCATACATACATACATACATACCATACCATACATACATACATACATACATACATACATACATACATACATACATACATACATACATACATACATATATATATATATATTGCCTCGCAGTAGCCGCATTGAACTCCCAGGCCTGCGCCTTCCCCTCGCTGTCTCGCCCACTCCGCCCTGCGCCAAAGACCAGGGCGTGGGATCAGTGATAGCAGTGACATACCCACCTCATGCCCCATGTCCTAAAGCGGTTGAGGCCATCCCCCTTTGGGACCAAACCTTGGCACATGTTCAACGATTTTTCTTCTTCATCTACTTATCCATTCGATAAAATATCATTCCCAAATCAGAAAATGTAGTCATTGGTTAGCCGTTTGGTTCCCCCGTCACAGTTGATTATATATATATACATACAGATACAGCAAGCTCCAAAAAGATAGAAGTTCGTAAATCCGAATCTAAATCAGGGATAGATATTACTGTTTCTATCATTTTGTATGTATATACATATATATATATATATACACATCTGTTTATATGTCTGTATTTACCAGTAACTATGTATGTATGCATGCATGCATGCATGCATGTCTGAGTGAATGAATGAATGAATGAATGAATGAATAAATGAATGAATGAATGAATGAACGAATGAATGAATGAATGAAGGAATGAAGGAATGAATAAATGAAGGAATGAATAAATGAAGGAATGAATAAATGAAGGAATGAATAAATGAAGGAATGAAGGAATGAATGGATGTAATTATGAATGTGTATACATATATATATATATGTACTTAGGAATGTCTCAAAAGAGAGGGGTCCCCAAATTGCGCCCCAAGCCCCTTGTTAAAGGGAGAATAGAGAGCTTGGGGCACCCAAGTTTTGAGACATTCCCATGTGTGGTTTCCTAAAATGGAAGTACCCCCAAATCATCCAAGTTATTAGAATCATTAGACTGGTTGGTGGTATACCCCTCTGAAGAATATGAGTTCGTCAGTTGGGATGATTATTCCCAATCTATGGAAAAATACACAATGTTCCAAACCACCAACCAGATATGGTGCTTTAGGTGAAATCTATGTTGGCTAAGTTGGCTTTGTAACTCATGTCCCCAGGGTTTATGGTAAGTCAACAATATATGGAAACAAAATGGTATACCTACCCCTCTGAAAAATATGAGTTCGTCAGTTGGGATGATTATTCCCAATCTATGGGAAAATACACCATGTTCCAAACCACCAACCAGATATGGTGCTTTAGGTGAAATCTATGTTGGCTAAGTTGGGTTTGTAACTCATGTCCCAGGGTTGATGGTAACTCAATAATATATGGAAACAAAATGGTATACCTACCCCTCTGAAAAATATGAGTTCGTCAGTTGGGATGATTATTCCCAATCTATGGGAAAATACACCATGTTCCAAACCACCAACCAGATATGGTGCTTTAGGTGAAATCTATGTTGGCTAAGTTGGCTTTGTAACTCATGCCCCCAGGGTTTATGGTAACTCAATAATATATGGAAACAGCCATGGTATACCTACCCCTCTGAAAAATATGAGTTCGTCAGTTGGGATGATATGGGATGATTATTCCCAATATATGGAAAAATCAACAATGTTCAATAATATAGCTATAGATGGTGATTTTCCATAGCTATGTTAAATTACCAGAGGGAAATATATGGAAACAAAAAACAGCCATGGTAACTTGGAGATCCCCCACGGCCTCGCTCGCTCTCCCTGGCCGCAAGCTGCTGGAGACATCGCCGCGCTTTCGTCACATAGCTCTCGTTCAGTGGTCTGCGGCCGTGGTTTTTTTCGGTGCGTCGGACTGGAAAAATGGTGGATTTAACTAGGAAAAATGGAAAGCTCACCAGCAAAAATTGCGATTTCACCAGCAAAACTTGAGATTTAACCAGAAAAAGTTGAGATATAACCAGAAAAATATAGATGTCACAAGATTGACAAACAAAGATGAGGGAATTCATCGACAAAACTCTGGGAATCAATCAACAGTTTTTTGGTGGGACTTGATTGATTGATGTATCCAACGAGAAGGGTGAATCAATCAACAGCAAATGTGGGATTAGCCAAGACAACCGGAGATCTCCCCAACAAACTCCATCTTTTGATGTATGGGAACATTGTGTGGAACTGGGAGTTTTGATTCCCATGTGGTGGGAGTACTCGAAAGAATTGTAATTTAATCAAGACAACAAGGGTCGCAAGTGAGTGATTGGGGCCTTAGCACTGCCTTTTTGGTACTTGAGATCGCATGAACAAAGCCTTCCCCCTCCCCTGAATCATCTGTTCAAGCTTCCGAATGGACAGCACATACTCGTAGTCGGCTTTGGACTGGCAGAGTCAAGAGCAGCTGACCATGTCATGGAAATCGAGGGTACCAAATTTTGTCGCTCCAAGTGGTTAAGGGTTGATGGGGGTTGATGGGGGTAACCCCTTGTTATTCAAATGATTAAAACGTTTCCCACATGTTTCCACCAGTCGTTTAGCCTGGGCGTAGAGCTCTTCCGACCCCTGCAGCAGACTTCGTTGTGATACTTGGCTGGGAAAACAATACATAAGCGTCACAACTGCAGAAAAAATAACAGCTTTACCTACTACAAGAGCTGGAAACTACGATCTATTCACTCTGATACTTTGGTGATGGTCGCAAATGAGGCGGAATCGGGTTCTTGGGCATCTTGAACATATGTTGAGGCAATTGGATTTGACCTATGGCTGTATCCCAAGTGACCTCAGGCACCATCAACCCTCAAGATTGCTAAGTTCAGAAGAATCAGAAGGTCGTTGGATGTCGAAGGCACAGTAGATCATTTCAAGCTTCACATCTCAAATCATGTTTGGAACGTCCGAAAAACATTCTAGACTTACGGCGTCGCGAATTGTGAGCCCCAAGAAACACATCATTGTCATCGTCTACATCCCGGAAAACTACAATGAAACCACGAGGAAAAAATGTTGAAAAAAGCGTTTCGTAGGGCCAGATTGGAGGCGATGTCTCCAAGGACCAGCCTGAAGCTGCGCCAGCTTCCGGCGAATGCCACCTCGACTCATCCACACCTTGTCGCAACGGTGAGTCGCGATGGGAAGTAGATGTGTAAATCATAAGAATGGCCCATCTACGGTCCCCTCAGCCTTGAGTTTCTCCCCATGCCAACATAAACAAGAAAAAATGCAGAAAATATAAAAATATGTGTATATATATGTATATATGTATATATATGTATATATATATATAAATATAAATCCAATTCTAACACAGTGCTAATTTCTATTTTCTATTCTATCTTCTCGGGCAATTCCGAAAAAGTATAGTCGGCTCCAGACTTACCAATTTCCATTCACCACCACCTTGTGCCACTGCTTGGGATCAAAGCCGTCTTCTGTGGGGCCACCTCAGTAAAACGTTGGTCCCCAAGGGCATGGCCCTTTGTTTCGAATTTCACACGGAAGATGAGGTTTGTAGCATTGATAGTTTTAAAACTGCCTGTATCGTTTTTTCATGTTTTTTTCTTGGGAAGATGATGGATTGATTTGAGGTGTTACCTCAGTTTTGAGACAAACCCCTTTACCTATTGCTTGTTCGAGGGGGACCTATCCATCTACTAATCAACCAACCAATGGGAAGGGGACATCCAGTATCTCAACGTCGAAACTCAGCTGCCAATATCCGATCGAATCCGAAGCCCCTTCCCAGCATCCCCTGGGGAAGTAAGGGATACCCCGGCGACGTTGCAGAACACTGGAGACATGTCGAAAGTCGAAAGTAATGGAGCTGGGTTCATTTGCCACAAAATTACAGCCGGTGACAGCCCAGCAATGACCGACTTGAATTCATCTGTTACCATGTGAGAACGCAGGAATCAATGATCCGGCAATGCAATTGGTCAATTTCCGCCACACCCACCAAATAATGGCTGCCAAACCCACCAGGGTCCAGTACCTTGCGTGATGGTTTCAATGTCGGCCAGCGCAGCTTCCAGTTTGCCCATGCCCACGTAGCAATGCCTCAGAAACACAGGCTGCGAACATCTCGAAATAGCTCAGAAGCATCAAATGGTTGCATCCTATTTTTGCAAGGATTGGCATCCCACTGCTTCTACATATTAGGAATGGTGGTGGATGGCGGTGAAAGTGTGGAAAGCTTTGGGGAGTTCTGCCCCAAAGAAATGATGATATTTGTTTAAAAGCCTTTCAGTTGACTTGAACTGGTCAACTTTTGCCAACAAAAAATCGTCATATTAATGGATATGAACACCACATTTGGGGATTTGAAACATCAAAACTGCTATCACACATTGGGATTTTGGCGATCACAAATGGGAGAGTGTACCCGCAAACCATGGGGATAGAACTAGCCAAAAACTTTTGGGGGGTGGATTAAGTCAACAAAATGGTAATGCACATTACTAGCAATAAATGATGGGTAGACCGACTGCATGACGACAGTGCCAATGGGTTGATTCGTTGCCATGAAAGGGGGAAAAAAAAACGACCTGGCCATGTTTCTTTGGAGAGTATAGTGATAAGTGATAAGGTACTCATCCAGCTGATCATTTTTCCAGCTATAAACCTCCGTTTTTCCAGGGAATGTTCCACCTAAACCTCCCGTTTATAAGGGATTGTCCCATTAAAACCTCTATTTTTCTCGGGGAAAATCTCCCATCCAATCCATAAAAACGCTCCGTCCCAGCAACGCGCGGTTCAGCAGAGCGCTGCAGCGCAGGCGCCCCGGTGGCAGCTGTGCCAGCAGCTCGCTGAAGGTCTCGGCCGCCTCGCCGTGGGAGAGCCTCCGATGCAGGGATTCTATAGTTATGTATAACAATAATGTCCTTTTGGTAAAAATAGAGGGGCCGGTTTGGTATACCATTTATCATCATTTACCTGTTGACCTGTTGTTAAAGGGGTAAACAAACCCCTCTATTAATCAACCAACCAATGGGAAAAGGACATCTATGATGTATAACCACATTGTTAAAGCCCATTGAAATCCCAGCAAAATTCCATTTAGCCTCTGGTAAACGGGCTAAGATAACGAACTGGAAAGATCCACCATTTTGAATGGGAAAACTCATTATTTCTATGGCCATTTTCCATAGCTATCTTAGTTTACCAGAGGGTAATAGTTTTTTCTAACTATATTCATAATTATGGGACTCTAACAAGCTATATATTGTCGGACTCTACAGTTATTCTATAGTTATGTATGTTCATAACCAAAATTCCATACTATTTTAATTAAGTAGTTATAATTACTATGATGGTGCTATAATTACTACACCATATTGGATAGCACCATAGTCATTCATGTAATCTATTAATTATTTCTTGCACCAATATGATGAATTATGATGGTAGTGCTGTAATCTATAGTAATCAGAATTATAGATTTGCTATACTATAACTATGGGTACTATTCGTAATCCGATTTTACTAAAATAATAACTACAGTTTATGGGTGTTAATATAGCGGAACAATGGTATTCTATGGGAATGGGGTTACCCAAAAAAAGATAGAAAAGTAAATTCTCACTACTTTAGGTTCGGACTTTACATACTTCTATCTTTTTGGGGAGAACTTTTTTATTTTGAACATTGGAGAAACCATCATGTTTGAAGATATATTGGAAATGATATAGTACATATCTTCCAAACATGATGTCATTAAAGAGCCCTGGGATACTCCTCAAAGGGCTACTCCTAAAAGTTGCTATCCTTGCAAAAAAAAAAAAACTGAAAAAATCTCAAAAATTCAAAAAATATCAAAAAACATTGACAATCCACGGATTCCAAACGAATTCAAAAAAATAAAAAAATAAAAAAACAGGAAAAAACGGAACAAATTCCACAAAAAAACAAACAAAAAGTAAAATATTCAAAAAACAAACGAAAAAATTGAACGAACAAATCGAAAAAAAATGCAACAAACAATCAAAATAAAAATTCAAACAAAAATCAGAAATTTTCAAAAAAAACAAATCAAGAAAAATCAAAAAAATAAATAAAATAAAAACAAAAACGATTTTTTGTTTTAAAAAAACAATTTGCTGCAGGGGATTAGCAACATCAGCTTTATCTTCATTGGGGAAACCAAAATTCGGCAGCTCATGGTCTTTTTTCTCTGTTCTCGTTGGTCTTGCGCCTGTCGCCCCCCTCCCACCGGACGGCTTTGTGCTCGTCCGGTGGGAGGGGGGCCTGTGCGGCGGCTTCTGTGCTGGCCTCGCTGCCGTCCTGCGGCGGGGCGTTTTGGCAGGGCGACAAGGTCATTCAATTTTCTTATCGGAAATTTCCATCGTCCGGTATCATTACAAGATGTATACGCGTGGACCCTCATGTAAGGACACATTCTCATTCTCTCTCCGCTCTCCCTCTCTCTCTATATCTTCATCATCTTTAGATCCGTGCATTTTATATTAACTAGTCTTGCCAAATATGAATTTCGAATGCGCAATCTTGAAGTTGCACACCAATGCTTATAATTAATTATAATGGTTTGAAACGTCGTTAGATGGAAGATGCAAGTTGCCTTCAGCGAATAATTAAATGATTGCTCGTGGTCATCCCGGGCCCCAGCTGCACTCCCCGGCCTACGCCTCCAAGTGCGCCACCAATTCCCGCACGAGGCGGGCCATCCTTTTCGGCCACGCACTCGGGGCATGGTGCCGGCGCACGACTTTCAAGCACCGCCGAGCTGCCTGCCCCAGCCGCTTCTTGACGCGGCGGACACGGAGGATCTCGTGGACGGTCCCGTCCACGATCTCCTTCGATGTGAATCAGATCAGGGCGGGTCCAATTTAAGGGGTCTAGAATTATACAGATAGGCATAGCTAGATCGTAGAGGCATACACACACACATAAAAATAAATATATATATATGTGTGCGTTGATATTTACATAAACAGTATATATATCTACTGTAGGTGCGTAACCTTTTTCTTTTTTTTCCGATTTTTTCTTTTCTATTGCATCCATTGATCTTTCTGCACTAAGCGATGTCTCAATCCTGAGTGGCCGATCGTTATCATGTCTATTTATGAATATGAATATTGTTATTGAATATTGGATATTGTTATTCTATCCTGATAAATTATGTTCTCAAGTCGTTGTTCGAGGAAATGTATCGGGTCATCGGTGATCAACCTACCTGCTCAAGCAATCTATGATAGAATCAGGATATATAATTGATGGTGCATCATTCGTGCTATTTAATTCTTTCGAGGCAGACTGATTGCAATTTGGTTGGTCCTGAGCGGTCTGGAGCTCCCTCTGAGCCCAGCTCCGCGGGGGGCTCTGCAGACATTCTGTCCACAGTTGGCTGACCCTTGTGCGGGTAAAGCCCTTGCTCCGAAGTGCTTGGCGCACGTCGGCTTCGGTGGCCAACACCACCTTCAGCCTAAGCACTTCCAGCTGGGCCGGGCCGGGCATGCTTCCGTAAGGCGGGGAGGCGAGAGACGGCGTTGGTTGTTTTTGGCTTGTCGCGGCTGCGGTTCCGCATTTGGGCTGTGATGGAATTGCAGAGGTGATGGAATTCCGTCCTGAATTGCAGAATGATAATCAATCTACTTAGTCATCTACTTCCCATCATCCCCAAAATCAATATCCATCTATATCAGGACCTATCATCTATGGCCAATGTTCTTCCGACGGAAGAAGGCATGCTGGTATCCGGTATAACTGGTACAATGTATTCATCATATTTGGGCTGTTGCGCCAACCAAATTAATTTAGCATCCCTTAGCACCCCAGACACTCGGCCAAGGTACCAAACATGTGGAACGCATCCGTGCACCAACTGGGCCCAGTAGGATTTGAGTTGCTCTGTGTTGTGTGATGCCGGAAAAGTGACCTGGAAAATCAAAAACAATGATTGCAGGAGAGGCTTCTTCATATGGGGTGTCTGGTATTAGGATATCCTCGAAACAAACATGGCAAGTGGGGCAGGGGGGGATGGTCCCCACCTTTGATTGCCGCTATCCTTAAATTGCATAAACATTGCTATATGGTTGACCGTTTTCCCCTGCGAAGATTGCCATACCTGGTCATATTTAAGCCCGTTTTTAGACGCAAAATGGTGTCTTCATGAGGTTTAAAACCGCCCTTTAAAAAAAAAATCTTTGTGGAATAACGTTTTTCACAATTCAACCACCAAAAATTTGATGTCTCACCGCCAGCATGTTTGAGTCGTGCAGGTGCTTCTACTTTCGAAGTTATCACTGCGTAATCCTTCTAAGTCAAGTAGATGGAATCTTCCATGAGATGGACCACAGATCAAGACCCCCATCCACACATCAATTTTCCCTGCTGAAGCCATCTCAAACCTCCCATTGGTTCCTGATCACACCGTCATGTTATGTTTACCGATTTAAGCGTGGTGAACTACCCATGGCAGGTGACACCTAGCAGGTTCTTCAGCGACATCTCCTGCATCCCCTTGTGGCTCAGGCGCTTGAAGGGTGGCAACTTGTCCTTGGTGGCGAGCGAAGATTCACGAGCGAAGTCTGAGTCACCGTTAAGTCTGTATCCTTCACGGCGGAGATGTTTCCAGCATCGAGGGGGTTACTACCCCGATGCTGAAATTTGCTGGATGCTCTATATAATTCTCCATCATCAGGGCGGTGATGTTTGAAGCATAAGTTTCATAGATTTGACCTGGCTGACCCTTTATCATGAATCATACTCATATAGACAACACATTTTCCAGTGTCGAGGGGGTTACTACCCCAACACTGAAAAACGTGCCGTCTATCCCATCCCCTGTCTACCATCATGCTCATATAGACAACACATTTTCCCCCATGAAGCTAAAGCTGATGTTGCTAATCCCCTGCAGCAATGTGTTCATTTTTTGTCGTGTGGTAAAATCAATGATCAACCATAGCATATCTCAATTTACCATTTGGGGGGATGTTGATGTATTATATGGAGCTTTAGAAATTTGAATTTTTAACCAAGTGAATTTCACACCTAACTTCCAGCGTGAAAATCTTCATCCATCTCCATCATCTCCACATGTGCATTCTTCCAAACATGGAGGCTACAATACTGCAATTCGTGGCCATTTCAATAGAAATTAGTGAAACAGGGATTAAAATGATGAGATCCTCCATTTAGTTCGATTCTTTCCCGGCGTCAAAGGGATTTTCCACGTTTGATGACACAAAAAAGGCCTGTTCTGCTGTAACTGCGCGGTGGCACGGTTCAACATCGCGAAGGCCGCTTCGTCGGAGTCCTAGGGAGTTGACCATCAGTGGAGGTTGCACCAGGGCTAAACTAACATAGATGTGGAAAATCAACTATTTGTAGACTATCTTCATGGGGAACCAAAGGTTTTCCAGATCTATGCTAGTTTACCCTAGGCTAACCAGGGGATTCCTGGGATTTTCGCTTGGGATTTGGTGTCCATCAACTTTCCGACTTGGGATCATCGAGGGTTGAAACCAACCAACGGTAGTTGACCTCACCAAGCACAAGCCTCTGATTCTTGCGGTCACGAGCTGACTCAAACAACCCAAGCATGAATCCTCAAAATATCGTACCTCAAAATCCACACCTAAATCAAGGATCCCCCTAGGTGGCCAAGTTGGTTTATCACTAGGCTCATAACTCGAATATATCAACATTTGGATGGTGTTGTCAACCAATTCAAAGATAGGGGTTCCCCTTCCTGTGATACTCCAGCAGAGCCTTGGTCTCATCAGCAACGTCAGCGGCAGCGCCACCAGTGGCGCTCGCGGCTGCGCTGGCCGCAGCCGCTGAGACCTGAAAAGGTCTGCTCTCTTGGGGAAGGACCCAGATCATACCTTGCATGGCATTGCATGGCCTTGTTCTTGTTTATTGAAAGGGAGAAAGAAAAGAAAGAAAGAAAGCAGTTGTGAAACCTGCTGCAGTCACAGTGGTGAATCAAACTCTGAAGCCCAAAAAAATGCTGCCACGGGAGTTGGTATCGTTGTAGGCGGACAAAATGAATGCCCTGATCCCGCCTCCGGCACTGCCGGCTCCTGGGCGCACTGGAAAGCTGCAGGTGTTAAAGCTCATGGTGGTTCATCCAATTTTAAGTGTATATAGAACCGCATAGTTACAGGGCCCCCCCACACCACACTTATAACCATGGTTAAGTTATCACCATGGTTACATATACACATTTATAACCGAAACTATCCCAAAACCTAGATGAAAACCCATATTCATCCTAGTAAAACCCGTTAAAACCCATCAAAATCTCCTGAATATCGCCCATTTGAAGCCCTCTTTCCACGCATCCCCCATCCTCCGGAGTGGTTTGCCACAAGGCCGCTGCGATGGAGGTCCGTTGGACTCCAGCACTCACAGGAGCTGCAGTGCCTGGCAACATACTCACAACAAGTGCAATATATATATATTATTATATTATATTATATTATATTATATTTTATTTTATTTTATTATATTATATTGTATTGTATTATATTATATATATATATTATATTATATTCATATTATATTATATTATATTGTATTATATTATATTATATTATATTGTATTGTATTATATTATATATATATATATATTATATTCATATTATATTATATTATATTGTATTGTATTATATTATATTATATTATATTGTATTATATTGTATTGTATTATATTATATTATATTATATTGTATTATATTATATTATATTGTATTGTATTATATTATATTATATTATATTGTATTGTATTATATTATATTGTATTATATTATATTATATTGTATTGTATTATATTATATTATATTATATTATATTATATTATATATATTATTATGTATATATATATATATACACACATAGTACAGAATGATGTATAGCTATGTAACCATATGATATTATGTGTCTATGACTGTGGGATTGTCTTTCGCCATTTCATCACGATGTTTCCCTTCTGTGTGAAAAGTGGGTGACCAATTGGTCAATGCGCTGAAGACCATTTGGGGGCCTACAATCCTATACATGGTCCATTGCATCCCTGTGTTGATTCACCCAGTTTGCCTAGGAAATGTCAGGCAGGGTGGATCCTCTTTCCAACTCCAACTCTTCATATATCCTCAAATTGTATCGCCTTAAATATGCAATCTTCCCCAAAAAAAATGATTGTATTCTATTCAAATTCCAGCGTTTCTGGTTGGATTCCAATGATCCGATTCCATTTTCTTAATGCTGCGCAGCGTTCCCCACTTGCAAAGCCAGCTTCCGAAGGACTGCTGCTTTCTCCCCAAACTTGACCAACGCTTTTTCTGACAGAACTTGATCAACCTTTCTCAGCCATCGGCCCATCAACCACAATTTCTATCAATTTCTATCCCCAAAATTCTTCCCAACAACTTCCGACTTTTTGGGCAAATCGCCCTGAGTGCCTCCTCGGGCCGGGTCCGGTGCAGGAGCCTATAAAAACACGGATTGTCGAAATGATAAGACTGGGATGATCCAAAAACATCCAGCTTCCAGGAACTCAGGATACCCTCTGGTAAACTAACATAACTGTGGAAAATCACCATTTTTAATGGGTAAATCAACTATAAATGGCAATGTTCAATAGCTATCTTAAATTACCAGAGGATAAACCATTCCATGGTGCTTTCCACAGCAAATCCCCTTCCAGAGATCAACCATGGGAGTTCAACCAGGAACTGGGCTACACCACAATAATTTCAACCGATTTCCACAGACACCGCCTCAGCCAGGCCGGGCAGTTGCAGGGTGCGAGTCAGCACAGTCCGGCCAGTTGCGTCCTGGGCCACGATGATCCTGAAGCCCTAGATGGTCCACAAGCTAACTTAGTCTCAATGGATTCGAGGCTGCAAGCTGTCCGATACTATTTGACTCACAATATCTGGATGTATCTCTAGATGTAATTGGCCTGAGACCCTGGTAGGTGAGTGATGTCCGGACTAAACAACGGGCTGCCACAAGGGTTTACCCTGGATTCTGTGTTCAAATGGCGATATGTAAGTGGAAACATTAACTATGTCATGGACTGGGTTTGCAAGCTATATGTATATATAATTACAGAGAGAAAGCGAGAGAGAGAGAGAGAGAGGCTGTAGAGCTAGAAAATGTTGATCTTGGATGGTTTTGTTTGAATCACAAGCCCCAAAATAGATGATAAAGAGGATAAAGTAACTAAACATCAACAAATTTGTGGATCCTATAGTACCCCGCTTTGGGCCATCGATCATTTCCGATGAATGTGGTATCTTCCACCACAGGTTGACTCCTTGGCCGCAGGGCCCTCTTCCGCCTGGGCCAGGCCCATACGATACTTGGGGGGGTTACCTACTGTTCAACATACCAGTTGCAAAACACCTTTGTGGTTTGAAAGTGCATCATGTTGATCACAGAATCCGGAGGCTGCGAGGCTTGACCTGGTGACCTTGAGTCCCTGCGCGAAACATCCTGCAGCTTCAACACACACACCCTGGGTTTCACCATGAAGCTGTGTTGCCGGAAACGACCATAGAACTGCGACTGCCCCCCATTTGTCAATGATTTTCCTAGTCCAGAGTCCAAAGTGGTAAACCCCAAGCCACAGCTGACATTTCCTCCCCGGCCACTCTCGCCTCAGCTGCAGTGGTTTCCACTTTGACCTCTGGCGGTTCCTCGCACAAGGAACCTAAAGTTGGAGGACTGAAAACTCAAAATGACCAGTCAATCTGTGTGTAGGTGCGTGTCTTAGCCGATCTCTTCTCCGAAAATCGAATCATTTCATCCGCACTTGGGTTTGGGTCAAAACCCTGATACCCTAGGTACCTTAAAGTGGCTGATTAATGGATGATTGTTCCAGTCATATGGCAATAGGTTTTGACCCATCCCTAAGTGTTCGGCCAACAATTGCAGTCATTTTTGTGAAGTTCAATTCTTCACCGCCAGATCTCCTGGTGCGCTTGGGTATTCAGCAGCTGCAGCAAATCCATCTGTCCCGTGTCCGAGACTTCGGGCGCCGCCATTGGCACAAGCACAGGTGGAGCAGTGAGTGCGGGCACTGTTCCTGGTGGGTTGAAATTCTCATCAAATATGTATCCAAAATGTGACGATATCTCATATTAAAGCTGGATCGTCACTTGTCTATATACCGAAAAACACACATATTTAGCCATATTTATATGAATTTGCACCAGTAGTACCCGCACGAGGCGGGGCGGAAGTTGCCTTAAAGATATACATAAGACCTTTCTCATCTATAGAACTTGCCTGCGCCGTGCGCCAGCCAAGCCCGTGCGTGCGTGCACTCTGCGAAACTGGTGTCGTGTTTCACATGTCACATTTGAAGCTCCAGTTCGCACTTCGCACTTCTCACTGCAGTCTTCACACTCCACATTACACACTTCACACTCCACACTTCACACTGCACTCTTAAGACTCCACACTTCACACTTCACACTCCACACGTCACACTCCACACTTCACACGTCACACTGCACTCTTCGCACTCCAAACTTCACACTTCACAGTCCACACTTCACACTTCACAGTCCACACTTCACACTTCTCACTCCTCACTGCTTTCTTCACACTCCAAACTTCACACTTCACACTTCACACTGCACTCTTCACGCCCCACACTTCACACTGCACTCTTCACACTCCACACTTCATCTCATCTGAGCCCTTCTCACCTTATCCCAGCTCATCTCTTCTCATCTCTTCTCATCTCTTCTCATCTCTTCTCATATGTCATTTAAGCTTTCATGAATCACTTCCCAGTACTACTACTAATCACTGTCGCAGCCTTGATGCACCCACTCCAATACGATTTACGATCTTCAGCTGCAAAAGACAGTAGTATTACGCATGCAGCCGCGGCACCAAGCAACCTTGACACAGCCATTCCAATGCGATCTGCAGAGACTGAGTTGCAAAACACAATAGAACTATGCGCAATGGTGTCGGAAATTGCAGCTCCAAAACCGGATCTCGACGCCAAAGCAGAAAAAAAAACGATTTTGAAGCACTTTTTAAAAGGATTTTTAAAAGGAAAATTACTAGCGCCAAAATTGCGAAAATCTGCTGACAAATCACTGTCGCAGCCTCGATGCAGCCATTCCAATACGATTTACGATCTTCAGCTGCAAAAGACAGTAGTATTACGCATGCAGCCGCGGCACCAAGCAACCTTGACGCAGCCATTCCAATGCGATCTGCAGAGACTGAGTTGCAAAACACAATAGAACAATGCGCAATGGTGTCGGAAATTGCAGCTCCAAAACCAGATCTCGACGCCAAAGCAGAAAAAAGACGATTTTGAAGCACTTTTTTCCTCCACAAAACATAGCCCATGCAACATTCATGCAGCCATTCCAATGCGATCTGCAACCACAGCTTCAAGAACCGCATAGAACTACGCACACAGGAACAACCACTCGTTGCAAAACACATAGGAGGAACAATTCGCGACAGAAACGACCCCAGCCGCACCCGCCGCACAGACGAGGTACCTTTCATCGCCGGCTGCAGCCACTTTACACGGAAAAACACAAGGTTTCGTGCTCCGGCTTCCTCCCCAAAACATAGCCCATGCAACATTCATGCAGCCATTCCAATGCGATCTGCAACCACAGCTTCAAGAACCGCATAGAACTACGCACACAGGAACAACCACTCGTTGCAAAACACATAGGAGGAACAATTCGCGACAGAAACGACCCCAGCCGCACCCGCCGCACAGACGAGGTACCTTTCATCGCCGGCTGCAGCCACTTTACACGGAAAACACAAGGTTTCGTGCTCCGGCTTCCTCCCCCAAACATAGCCCATGCAACATTCATGCAGCCATGACTAACAATGAAGCAGCCATCCCATTCCAATCTGCAACCAGAGATTCAAGAACCGCATAGGACTACGCACACAGGAACAACCACTCGCTTCAAAACTCAAAGTCAGTTCTTTCCTGATGTATTGTTATTGAGTGTAAAGTCTCACAACAACCCTTCATCAAAGTAAGTTCTTTCCTGCTCTATTGTCATGTAGTGTAAAGTCTCACACCACCCTTCATCAAAGTCAGTTCTTCACTCATGTATTGTTATGTAGTGTAAAGTCTCACACCACCCTTCATCAAGGTCAGTTCTTTTATGATGTATTGTTATGTAGTGTAAAGTCTCACACCACCCTTCATCAAGGTCAGTTCTTTTCTGCTGTATTGTCATGTAATGCAAAGGCTCACACCACCCTTCATCAAGGTCAAGTCTCACTCGCGCACCACCCTTCATCACTCTGTATTGTCATGTAATGCAAAGGCTCACACCACCCTTCATCAAGGTCAAGTCCCACTCGCGCACCACCCTTCATCACTCTGTATTGTCATGTAATGCAAAGGCTCACACCACCCTTCATCAAGGTCAAGTCTCACTCGCGCACCACCCTTCATCATAGTCAATTCCATCAAGTAAAAGTCATTCGTAACTCGGAAGTATTGCTTCCCAACTTCCTTTGATAATAGCTATATCAGAAAGTATATCAAAGTTTATCCACTTATCCACTTGGCGTTCCCACGGGGCACCTGGCACTTCTCTCCACTGTGCCGGCGCCGGCGTCTCCGGCGACTCCGGCGACTCTGGCGCTGCTGGCGGCGTGCAGGGCGCCGGAAGTGGCGCGCCATGCGCGGTGCGCGGGGGAGGTACCTGGCTGGGACAAAGTGTTTTTGGTCCGTAGATATGCATACCTTACCTTACCTCTCCTTAAATTACATTATATACATGCGAGTATGCTTTATGTATATGTGTATATTATTTATATATATATATATATGTACATACATACATATACAATCATATACATAATCATTGTAGCTACATGATTCACATATATCATGTGAATATCCTCTGCTACATATGCATGCACATAATATCAATGTGTGTGTGAGCGCTACCTCTTGTGGAGGATTGTTTGTCTTTTCCTGTTGCTGTGACCCTGGAAACTGATCGAATTGAATTGGAGATCCTCCTGGAATGGCGAATTGTCCATTGCCACAGTCCAAGATTTTCCAAAAATGTTGGCCCTACACTTTCGATGGTCAGCAAAACCCCACCGAAACATCGCTAGGACATGTTGGGAATAGAGGCCCAGCCCTTGCTACCACCCATCACCTTGTTACCATATTCAGATTTCTTGTAGTATCAACTGACTGGATCAAGTCGCTCAAAAACTGCCCAACTTCTCTGCAGCCACGTTTTTTCAACCCTAATTGTTTCTGGACCAAAAAAAGACAAAGTCTTGCAACTGCACCCATGTTTCTTAATCCCATCTAAAAGTTGGCCAACCATCCCCCTAAAATCTCCACGTCCGACCGTCCCACCTCCACCGTTTCGGAACTGGGGGGCCATCGCTGCCCCAGTGCTTCCGAGCTCGCACGGCTGGGTGGTTTTTCCGCGGCGTTTTCAACGGGTCTGGGCGGCGCCGAAGAGGTCAACAAGAAAAATATGTCGTCTTTGCCGCACAAAAATAATACTTTTTTTTCCATTTGTTTTTTCCCATTGTTCATTGGAAGTTCCCAAATTCCATCTTTATTCGAAAGACACACGTTGCTGCAAAGCATAGCCCAGCAATGAGCTGAGATCTTCGAGTGAAAGAAAAGATCCAATGATTTTCCGGAAACAAATGACTAGCCGGTGCTTTGTGGCGAATCTTTTTGACTCATTTACTACAAATATTCATCATCACTGGCTCCTTAGTTCCCAAAATATCCATAGTTTCATCCAGTGGTTTCCAAGAGAAGATACCTTGGAATTCACCGACAATATCCAGTGATATACTCAAAATGATGAACATAAAAATGAGATGATATCAGTGGATAGTTCCAGATGATGATACCTCAAAATTCCCAGTGATCTCCAGTGATTGATCGATCCCTCGTTGCGAGGTGCGGTTCGGGCTCCATCGGCAGGTCGCATGGTCCTCCGAGAATCTCATCTCGGATGGCCTTGCCATGGACCTATCCCCGGCAGCGCCCAACGCGCGCAACGTGTGCATGGAAGAGTCCATTCTGAATGAGAATTTTCCCGGGAACTGCCACACATGAACACACCCAAGTTGATTGTCAACATGGACAAGATTATTGTTCAAAAAACAGGATATGATTATTGAGAAATGCGCATTAGTTAGATACTAGAACTATACTCCATGAACAACTAAACCATCCACATCACTTGAGTTTGAAGTATCCAAATATATCTATATAGACATTGGTGCATATATTGTGCATCTATTTAAGCATTTATCTATTTTGTTTACTTCTTCATAAATTTATATATTCATATACTTATCTCTATAAATATACATACTCATATAGATATATATATATATATATTTATTTATTTATTTACTTATTTATCTGTTTATTTTGATTTATTTATTTGCTTATTTATTGATTGATGTATACATATATATCTTTGTTTATGATATATACACAATATAAATATATATATATTGATATATACATATGTATGTATATCCGCCGACCCCGGCCTTCACCAAGGCAGGGGCGGCGCCTGGGACCACCGCAGGTGTGGAGCCTGTTTTTGCTGGCTTGCCACTACCTTGCGGTTCGCCAGCTCCGACAATGCCTAAAACCCTCCGCGGCAGCTTCGACCAGGCACTCAGGCCACTGCCCTCTGTTGTTAAGGGCGCTCAAAGTAGGTTGGCTCCCGATTACTCGGCAAAGGATCGACCCGCCAGAGAAAAAGAGCTTGGCTTGCTGCTCTGCTTCGTTTCAGAAACCAAGAGCAAGAACGAACTGATGCATGATCATCATGATGAGTGCTGATTTCTGATGCGGCGATCGATAACAGGTAATGATTCACTCTTTTTTTCCTCTCACCGCTGAGCCGAATGAGGGTGCATGATGATCTCATTTCCTCTGCCTCAGCCAGAGCAGAGTCTAACCATCATTTGACGGTGGTGATGATATATTTTGATGACGGTCTCATGTCCATGGCACAAAACCTACATATATAATATGTCATAATATCGTATGATTATGATGATGGCTTCATTTCCTCACAACCCAGAATCCAACGAATGATAAGTAACCAACTCGATCTTTACTCGATAACGTTTTGAGCTGAGGCTCTTCTTGTCGCTGGAGCTTCCTGCGGTAGACCCGGTAGGCGTGTTCCTGAGCAGGGGAGACGTGCTCTGCAGTCGTGGGTATTGAAATGTCCACGATGGTGAGATCTTACTGACCTTACATAGATAGTGGCTTGGATAACTTAGAAGCGGTAAATGTTTATGAATGTGAAGCAAATGTCATCCTGAGTCTATAATTGGCAAGGTACAGTCTAGTGCTACAAACCTTACACCTACGCAGGATGAACAAGTCCCATGGTGAACTCGGAGCATGGCACAAAGGGCCGGAATCCAGACCCATGGTTGCGCAACATGAGGAACCCATTGAATTGAAACAACCACATGAAGAAGTCCCACATGGTGAACTTGGAGCATTGTAGAAATCCAGACCAGGCAGCCTTGATTTCGCCGCTGCTTTCAGCAGGCTGTTCCTTGGGCTGGGAAGATTTCACTGCTACAGCTACTGCTATCATGTATGCACTCAATCTGAAGATGCACTTTAAGAAAACTTCTACTGTTATCATGCTCTGAGTCTCAAGATGCACATATATAGCTCGGCAGGCTGTTCCTTGGGCTGACAATTTCACTCCTACAGCTACTGCTATCATGTATGCACTCAATCTGAAGATGCACTTTAAGAAAACTTCTACTGTTATCATGCTCTGAGTCTCAAGATGCACATATATAGCCCACATATATATATATATATATAGCCCATATGTATAGATATATATGTATATACATAGAATTATATATATATATATATATTTTTAATACCTGGCACATATGTATATATATATATGCATACAATTCTGTAACATAAAAGGACACGCATCTATCTTACATATCCTTCATGCATTCATGGAAACTGACTCGAACTATGAAGTCCCAACGCCACAGGTCCCCATAGCCAGGGGTCTCGTGAGAGAACTCTTCCACCTTTCCACGGAGCAATGCTTTCCTAAGCGCAGGGATGTCCAGGGTATGTCACAAATTGATAATCTGATGTCATATAACCCATCGTTTTAATATAATAATAACCCTCCATCATCATACTGAAAACTATCGGGAACTCATATCAGTTGATATCGCTAATTATCATCACAATCACCACGAAACAATTGCTGTAACTTGTGGATGTTGTTCTCATTTATATTGATATCATGACGCAAAAAAATGCAAAAAAATGTGACCATGGTTGACAGTTTGTGATGCGGCCAAGGCTCTCGAACTCTTGGTTCTGAACTCTATGCTTCAGGCGGGCCACCCTAGGCCGACCGAGGTCTATCGTTGTTGCCGCGTGCTCCAATCATGCTTTCTAATGTAGTCTGATCATCTTTGATCATCTTCAGAAAGTGGAAGCTATGCATGAATACATATATATATAATTTTAAATGTATATATATATATATATTTATTTATTTAAAAAAGATATATTATATTATATATATATATTATATTATATATACATTATGTTTTATATACATTATCGAAGGAAGTTTAGAAGTCAAACTTCCGACAATATGGAGAGATGAAAAGCAGAGCAGGGCAGAGGCAGAGAGAAGAGGAAGAATAGAAGAGAGAAGATCAGAAGAGAAAGACTAAGAAGACAGAAGATACAGATGCGCGAAAAGGTAGGAAAGTCGCGAAACACTGTGTTTTTCCAATGATTTGTGGCTCCAGAGGGTCGAAAAGTAGGCTCGCTAAAGCGAGGGGTGCGGAGCCAGCTGGCCACAGGAGCGATGAAAAATTGCACGCCGTTGTGGTGCGAAGCACATTTCGAAGTCAAAAGTGTTAAAAACTGGCGGTCTCGGACCACTTTTGGAAGTTGAGATGTCAAAAAAGTGCACGCCGTTGTGGCGCGAAGCACATTTCCAAGTCAAAATGTACAAAACACCTCAGAGTCGGACCACTTTTGGAAGTTGCGATGTCGAAAAAGTGCACGCCGTTGTGGCGCGAAGCACATTTCGAAGTCAAAATGTACAAAACACACCATTCTCGGACCACTTTTGGAAGTCGAGATGTCCAAAAAGTGCACGCCGTTGTGGCGCGAAGCACATGTCGAATTGAAAATGTACAAAAACACTAGGGGTTCGGACCACTTTTGGAGGCTCAGATGTCGCTTCG